AAAAGCTCATGAAATATCAGCAATTCGGCATAGAACCAAAACGCAATCTTAGAGTCGCTGAAGAGACTAGCTGTATGGACATCTACAAAGACACAGGAGCCCTCATCACTATACTGTCAAGTAACAAAAAAGCAAGGTTGGAAGTGATTAGGAGCAGTGCACCCTGTCATAGTGATTTATTTCTCTGTGTGGATATCGCATGCACACAGGCACACAAGACTTAAGATGCTGCTGCATCAAGTGTCTGCAGAGCTTCCGAGGTCCCAGAGAGAGAGAGCTGGGAAGGACTTCTGCTTTCTAAGTAACTGACTGTAAAATGTACATTTTAGCAATAAGCAAACTGTAATCATAAGAGCAAAACTTACAAAGATGTTAAAGTTTTTTTACATCCTGGAGCCAAAGCAATTTAATATTTTTGAAACTAAGTTCTGGGCTCGTGTATTTATATTAACCAATTCTGTCACTTCTAAAAGGCTTTATTTACAAATTCCTAGAACTCGTCCCATCTATGGCTCAGGGTTACTGAGTGCCTAAACCAAATTGATGGGAAACATTTTGAAATCACTAAATGACTAAAATCACTAAAAGAGGCCATTGTGCACATTGTCTAAATTTCTTATTGGTGTTATCTTTCATTTACTCCCAAGAACACATTCTCTGTGTTTCGACTTTCACAGATGAGGAAAATATTGTGAAAACTTAAATTCCTTCTTGGGACACAAGGACTTTCTACCTTGGCCCCATCTCCCACACTCCTGCAGCTTGGACAGGGATTAATGGTCTGTCTTAGGCTTGTGCTTCTGAATGCCTGGTCTCCAGCCGGTGGCACTGTTCTGGAAGGTGTGGAGGCTCAGAAGACGGAGCCTTGCCAGAGGACATAGAAGCAGACCCTGAGGTTTGATAGCTTGCCCAGGCTGCTGCTCTCTGTTACCTGAATTCATAAACATTGTGGCCAATTGCCTCAGGCTCCTGCTCTAGCCTGTGTCCTTTCAAACTATAAATCAAAATAAATCCTTCCTCCATTGAGTTGCTTCTTGTCAGGTGTCACAGCAAACTGGCATGCTAACCCTGCACATACTATCCAGAGAGCAGATGAAAACACCCTCTGTGGTGCAAATCTGCCAAGGACAAAAGGTGTGAGGGTTACAGGCCAGAGGGAGTAAAATCCACCCTATAAAATAACTATAAGATAACACAACTGCAAGTTAAAATTTATGTTTCTCGTATTGCAAAGGGTGCTTCTCTATCAGTACTGAGAACAATCAATCACTTAAATGCTGAAGATAATGTTTGTAGGCACTGATAAAACACGTTTTGTTAGAGGAAAAGTGAGATTTGGGGAAATGCCGGGGCACTGAGTTCACAGATCTGTAAAAAGGATACTGGAAGCACTGGGGAGTGTCTGCTGGAAGCATGCTTGTTACCACAATGCCACAGTAGCATACATTAAATGAGTATAAACAGACACAGGAAAACACGCTCTGCCAGTTTCACATGCCACAGTCCTAGAGAGTTACTCCCACTGAGTGAGGCTTCACACCAGGGAGCTCATTTCTAAATGGCAGGGGAATGAGGCTTAGTGTACTGAGTGTTACCCGCGGGCCAGTGGGATGCAGACAATGGGGGCAGTGGTGGAGTGAATACAACCAAAATACATTGTAGAGCTGTGAAATGTCATGACAGAACCTGCTACTATGTGTCACTAGAAAATGCTGACACAACAGAAATCCAAGATACGATGTGTATAAAACTGCTGAGAAGACTCCCCAGAGTTTCCGAAGAATTAACAGGTGACTTAAAGATGTTCCTGCTCTATAAGGGGCCAGTAGAGAGCTGCAGGTCGGTCACCCTGTCCTAGTCAAGGTCAGAAATGCCCAGCCTCATTTGCATTCACTCAGCCACTCCAGTCCCCACCAAGGGTCCCAGCACGCATAACAGCAGAACGCCAGCAGGTTTGCCCAATTCAAATATCGTGGTGGCATGCCATTTAAAACTAGTAAATTCTGCCGGGTTACCGGGTTAAAATTAACCGGGTTAATTTTAAAAGGCCCCCTTTGCCTCTCGTTTGCAGTGTATTTCTCCACTTTTCTTTAGGACTCCCCACGTTCTCTTTCCTTCGTGTTTCCTCAGGAGTGCAGTAATACAGGAAGCCCGTTTGCAGGTCACTGGATGAGGTCAGCAAGGCGTCCCCCGGTGCTAATAGTTTGAGTAATAGGACTTTCTCTTTCAGACCACACCATTAAATTGCTTTCATTGCCCACAAAGGAGTTGTTCATGTTGGTGCAGATGAGATTAGATACAAATCCAACCCAGCAAAACCGTTTATTCCTAATAACCAAAAGAACAAGACAGTGACAAAATATTGTAAAAATTTTAAATGATACACAAGTAGAAGAAATCTATTTTAAAATGGAAGTCACTAGATCAAAATGGAGTCATGGGGGGCGTGACTTGTAGTTTACTCTCCTAGAGATTAGGGCTGAAGTGTATTTCCTGGGGCTTTACAAGAATGTATTATAGGTAAATCATGTTCTATAGGAAGGTAGGGGATTTTACTTTGGTACTCTATTTTTTCATCGGACTTCCTCTGTTTCTAAACCACTATTTTGTTGTTTTGCTTTTCCACCAGCCAAACTGAATGCTTCTGCTACGCTGCTCACAGCATCTCTGTCACCACCTCCTGAGGCTTCTAAACCTATTTTTCCTTTTCTCTACCCCGGCCACTGCAGAACCTCTTTGCCCTGGGATGAAAGTATTCACAGTGCCTCGATTATTCTCCAAAATCCATGTCGGGGCTGGACCACTGGATTAGAAATGCACACACTTGCCAGCTGCCTAGGAAGCAAGCCCATCGTAGCTCAGGAGATATCCAATGACCACAGGCTTCAGGTGGTGACTAAAGCCTGGGGCATCCCCTAATCTAGTCTCTGCACAGCAACCTGACTAGAACTCCAGGTTCCCTGGGGCTGAAGCTCCCCAGCACCTGCCAGTGCCTCAGGGACTCACAGGCTCTCCAGAGGAAGCATCCTCTCTTGCTGACTGCTGATCCCCGAGGCACTTAAGCCATGGCTGTTAGGAAGTAGCATAGCTGTCCTCCATTCTCCCCTAGGGTCCCTAAGCACATTGTGGGGCCCACACTCTGTGCTGCACCCTCCTTAGGCTGCAGTTTGCTGCTGTTCTTTCTGCAGACTTTATAGTGCTCTGAAAAGCAGTCTAAGCCTGAGGAGTCTGCCCAGATAACCAGCTCTTCCCCGTACAGACTACTCACAAGCCTAGCCTTTCCAGAGCCCACACAGTTACATCAGAGAGGGCAAACATTATCCATCTGGGTGTGGTCAGCCTCTTTCTGTGCTGCCTCCTCCCACTGGAGTGAGCAACAGCTTTGCCATCACCTCCTGACCTTCTCTGGTCTTCTGTGTTACGTGGCCCCAGCTATCCCCGAAGACAGTTTCTATTGCCGAATATTTGTTTGCACTGTGTGAAGATGTGCCACTGTGATTGGCTTAATAAAGAGCTGAATGGCCTATAGCTAGGAAGGAGAGATAGGCGGGACTTCTGGAGAGGAGGAAGAGGAGGAGGAATCTAGGATGCAGATTATGCCAAGGAGATGCCAGAAGATGATGGACAAATCAGACACACAGAAATGAAGAAGAGATTTTTAAAAAGTGGTAGAATATAGATTAACAGAAACAGATTCATTTAAGTTATAGGAGCTAGATGGGGGCCTAAGCTAAAGGCCAAGCTTTCATAATCTATAAGAAGTCTCCATGTCATTGTTTGGGAGCTGGCTGGAGGGACAGAAAAAGGCTCATACATGTTTCCTTGCTGTCTCTATTTGACTTTGTGCCCATCCTGAGAAAATGACTAGGGAACTCTGCAGAAAGCTCAATCAAGCCCAGAGATGCTGGTGAACTTTACTGACCATGAGGAGTGAATACACTTTATGATCTTAGCATCTTATTTCATGAAAGGCGCCACAGCCCACTATTCCAACCTGGCATTCAGGATGTCTCCCATATTCAGTAGCCCTCAAGGACCACGCTGGAATGAGGTCTCTCTCACACAGCACTCTAACTGTAGCCTACCCACCCCCTTTTACTGTAGCTACAGCTCTTTCTCTTAGACCCTCTGAAGTATCTGTCACTCGTCAATAATGAAACAAACACTGATGAGTTTCTCCTTTAAAATGTACTTCCTTTGTTTTTTGAGATTATAAGATAATGACATCATTTCTCTCTTCCCTCCCTCCAAACTCTCTTTGTTCTCCTTCAAATTTGTAGTCTCTTTTAAAATTAATTAATTGTTCTTACATGTTATCAGAGGCCATCTTTGCTCAAATATCCTGGTTTGCCCGTGTTCTCTGAAGCAATACACTTTGTTAGATCAGTTAGATCAGTTATCTAATATGCCAATTTGTCCTAAATCTCTGAACCTCTTGAGGCAGCGTGCAAGTCCCCATGTCCCCAGAGTCCATCCTTAGGAGTGTGTAGGCTCCACAGAGCCATATATTAGTGAACTCCTCAGTTTAGCTCACCTCCTTCTCTGTGAGCTCCTCTGTTCCACCTGAGGCAAGCAAGTCTACCTAAGTGGCTCTCCCAGCCAGCAGTGAGCTCTCCCCTGTCTCCCATGCCTGAGTTTGCAGAAGTTCTATAATACCAATTCAAGAACTTATGACTATCCTTGCTAGGCCCCAAGACTGGCTGCTCTTGGGACAGAAGTTTAGAACCCAGTGGTTGGTTTTCAGCAGTGTCCCTGGGCATCACCCTGAGGATTCCCTGAGCAAGAAAGAGTCAGAGAGCTTCAAGATTGTCCAAACCTAAGAGTTGTTTTCAAGCAGAGTCAGCACAAATGGGCAAGGGTCCAGACAGCACCCCACAAGCGAACACTAGCATTTGTAGGACCTCCATGTCCTTCCAGCAGGCCGGTATCCCATCCTACCAAAAAGATGTTTGTAGCTCCTGAGCCACATATAAACTCAAGGAATTATAGCTCAGTGTTACCTTCACTCCGTAGCATCCCCCAAATCTCCAAGGAAAGCACTGCTTGGGGCTGGGAAGATGACTCAGTCAGAAAAGTGATTTCCATGTAAGCATGAGGAGTTGAGTTCAGTCTCCAGAATCGACATAAAAAGTGGCATGCACGTGCAATCCAAGTGCTGGGCAGACAGAGGGATCCCTGGGGCTTGCTGGCCAGCCTGCCTAGCCTCATCAGGCAACTCCTGGGAAAAGTCAGAGGCTGACTCAAAACACGAAAACAAAATCCCCACCGAGACAGATGGCTTCTGAGGAATGACACGTGAGGCTGACCTCTGGCCTTTGTACACATGTTCACATCATGCACGTGCTCAGCCACACAAACACGAATGCACACATATGCCATGCACGTGCTCAGCCACACAAACACGAATGCACACATATGCACCAAGGAAGGAAGGAAGGAAGGAAGGAAGGAAGGAAGGAAGGAAGGAAGGAAGGAGGAAAGGAGGGAGGGAGGGAAGCCCATAGACACCAGTTTGCTATGTACACCTGGAGTCACAGGGGAGCATCTGAGAAGTCAAATCAACCCCAGGCCTGTCTACCCTCACAAGAAACCCAGCACAGGGACACTGAAGCTCAGAGCTTTTGAGAGGACACCAGGCCCAACTGTAGGAACCCTTAGGAACAAGGAGCTTGGGACATTTCCTGGGGAGAAAGCACCGGCCCTCTAAGGGAGGAACTGCTCAAGTAGTACACAAAGTTCTAAACTTGGGTTGCAGGCTCATCTGTGGGTTCTTGGGGGTGAATTCAGGTATGAGGGATGCTGTTCTGGACATGACATTTATTTCATTAGCCTTGCCTTGGACCAAATAGGCAGGTTGAAAACAGCAGGAATGATCTGTCCCTGACTCCTGGGTGATTCCAGTTTGAAAAGGCTAGGAATGTGGAAACACTATGGAAGCCCCTGGGATTCCCCAGCTGCCAAGATAACATGCAGGAGCTCTCAGCCACACTGTGCCACTGTGCTTTCATCAGGGTTCCAGCTGGATAAGGGAAAGATACCAGCACGAGAGACGAGGACTTCAAAACCAAAGAGATTAAACACCAACCAACACTCACAGCAAGTCCTGATCACGGGGGAGCATTTAATGAGCTCTAAGTCGTCTGGCTCCTGAGAGGGTTAGCCCTGTCTCTGTAAGGTTGAGAGGTCAAACTTGTTGGTCAAGCCATCATGGGATGGTCACAGGGGCCAGTGCTTCACATAAGGGACCACATTTGTGTTAAAACTCTGCTGTAGCTTCTTAAATACCTTCAGCATTTTTATCATGACTTGCTCTTCATAAGAGGACAATGGAACATGACAGTGATGGGAGGAAACAGGGAAAGAAAAACATGGCTTCCTGCTATTCAGAGCCTTGGCTGTACTTTCCCCCTGCCATTTGAATGAGAGGTCCCTCACACTACATGACCAGCTGCCTTGAGGTGGAAACTGCATGAACCAACATGAAGGACCCTGGAGATCCTTCAACCTCTAGGCCCAACTCTAACAAAGACATCTCTTTCCATGCCTTATGGTCAGTGAGAAAGGTCAAAACTTGTTCTAGATTAAGTAAGTCCTTCCACCAAGACAGAGAAGGATCTTGCCTGAGAAACAAGCATTTCCCACAAGAGGCTGGGTATTATTGGTGGGAACCAGAAAGGAAGCTATTATGTCAAAGCATAGAAGGACAGGTCTCCAGTGACACGATCCAGACCCCACAGCATTGGGACAGAGGCTGGGGAAGCTGCTTCTGCAGAATAGCCTGAAGGGACGTCAGGCACGCCCCAGGCAGAGTAGGTAAACACTGTGTTTGTGCACTCTGAGGGGGCGCAGACGGGGGCAGAGGGGATGCCCTTGTGACGTATGACCTGGGCAGGTTCCTGCCTTTCTTGGACTGTCTTCATGCTGGAACGGAGGGGGCGGTGCTTCCCCACGGCATTGTACACGGGTTACACAGCAATGGCTCAGTTAAATGAGATCCTGGGTTTTGTTTTTTCTGTGTAGTGTTGGTATTAGAAGTGAAATGATCAGGCCTGGGAACGTGGCTCAGTGGGTGGTGTTTGCTGCATTGTGTGAGGACCGGGTTCCGATGCTGAGAAAGCATGTAAAACCACACACAGTAGCACACGTCTAGCAGCTCAGAGCTCCCGCGGTGAGATGGGCGTCAGAGATGGGGGCATCGCACATCATTACATAGCACACAGTCTGCCCGGTTAGCCTCAGGAGATGCGCTCCGGACAGCATTACACTCACCTCAAGCCCAACTCACACTTTCATACCTTCATGGTCTCTGCTGCACATAGCCAGAAATCAATATACCGTCTAAGGATACAAGACCTGTGCTCTGGTCACAGATAACCACTACTGTTAAGAACTTTATTCCATAAACAGTCTGCCCCACACACGGCCGCACAATGGCTTCCTGGCCATAAGCATATGCCTGTCTCCCGCCACTGAAAGCTGGTTTGTATCCTATCTCCAAGGGAAGCCTTCATGGGCCATCCAAATCCACAGTGCTCTCCTGCTTGGTCCTTTGGTTAATCTCTTTTAGTGACATTTTCTGGGTAGGTGTCTTATTTCTTCAGATAAACCCATCATTCAGGTTCCTGTGAGTCATACATGGGGCAGCCACACAGAATAGCTTTGACTTAATGTGATCTCTCACATGACACATTGTTGACTCATAAACCTTGGTCATCCCCTAACAACCATAAAACACTAGAGTAAGGCACATGCAAAGTGTCTTTGAAGTAGAGGCCAGGTCTGAGTAGGCACTTAGTCGGTCTTAGTAGGCAATCTTAGGTCTGAGTAGGCAGTCAATAAATGTTTAGGATAAGAAGATAAAAAAAAAAAAAGCAGGAATCTCTTCTTGTTGAGAAAACAAGAAGAGTAAAATAGGCCCCGGTTATATGGTATGCCTACTCTGACTAGACAACAAGAGATGACCACTGTGCTTCACTGTCACTTGCACCCAAGACAGGTAACTTGCTTCAAGATCTGAGGTTGGCACCTGCCAGAACAAGAAGGAATGTGAAAGCCCTGAGCTCAGGCCACAGCACTAGCAATGATTTACAAGGTGAATCTAGTCAGCACTTTCAATAGACAGTGATTCTTCAATGCCATGGGATCTTTTCTGACACACTGCTGAGTTCATGGGGACAGCATGGTTGTCAAGGAAGACAGGAGGGAGCACGGATGAGGAGCTTCACTTGGAATGTCTCCAGTTAGGACTTCTTAGTTCTCCTGCCCTTTATTTTGGACATCTTGTTGGTCCCTCAGTCTGTGATTCCAAAAAGCATTCTTTTTCCTTGACTCCCACCCATACTTGCCTTAATTTCCTGCTGAACACAGCTGTCCCCTGTTGAAATCTCCAAACAGTACAATGTTAAGGCGAATTTGATAAAATTCTCCCACCAGCCAGCATGCATGCTTTCTAATACTCCAGCTGCTAAATTAGCTTGTGGGGGTTTCGGGGGGCACTTACATGCTGGATAGTGGCCACACTGGCAGAAATCAATGCCCCTGAGAGGGCATTGCAGGATTCTGGAACTCAAGAGGCTTGTGCAGGACCTTTCCCAGAATCCTCTCCTCAGAAGGTCCAATATAAAAAGTGCTCCTATCCTTCACACTCGGAAAATAGACAATGGTTACTCAATCCAGCTGAAGCCTCCTTGGGTTTCTAAAAACAAGAAAAGCCAGAAGAAAATCCAAAGAAGGAGGTGTGAACAGGGATTTACAATGCTGGCTTCATCGAATACAGCAGTGCTTGTGGGGCGCTGTGGGGAGAAACAGAAGGAGGTGAGAGTTGTGATGGCCCTGGGAGGAAGGGTACCGATTTGGACAAACGAGAGTTGAGCTGGCTGCAAAGAGAGACACCTGAAATAGTGAAATGGGAAACAGAAGGAAGGAAATGGGATGGAAACGGCTACAATGTAGAGATGCAAAGGAAGACAGACTCCTGACAAGGCTGTGGAGAAGGTATCAGGCAAAGGTGGGCACAGAGAAACACCAACAGACAGTAGCCTTCCAGTCACTATGCTCTCTCTCCCTGAGAAAGGGGAATGGATGGTTGATTTGCATTGCCATCTTGACATATTAAGAGACGCTAACAAGGCTCATCACTGAGTCTGTGAGAGGATCGACAGAGGGGTAAAGGGCTACACTCAATACTGTCAGCATCATCCCCTGAGCTAGGGACCCTGACTGGATCAAAAGAGGAAAGGAGGATGTTAGGTGAGTGCCAGCATCTATCTCTCCTTCTATCTTCTGAGATGTGAATGAGCAGCCTTAGCTCCTGCCACCTCGGAGCTGCCTGCTGTCCCACCATCCCTACCACCATGGGACTGTGTCCTCTCCTTTCTCTCTTAATTACCTTTAGTCAGGTGTGTGGTCACACCAATAAGAAAATGAACAAATACAGGAGGGGACAAATCCAGCAACATTGTTGGGGCAGCCACTAAGGAGCAACTGGGTCTTGGCACTTACTCCTTCCCAGCCTCCGTAAGAACAAATGTCTCCCTCAAGCCAGAGTGCCATTGCTCATCCTGAAGCATGCAGGTCAGCTGTCACTCAGTGGCTTCAAGATTAAACATAAACAGACCTAAACTCCGATGGCTCCAGATTTAGTCACGTGCCGTCTGACATGATTCCCTGCGCACTGATAAGGGAGGGAGGGGGGAGGGCCGGAAAGCAGCCATCTGTCCATTCCACAAGGCAACGCTTCAGCGTTTTCCTCCTCCTCCTCCTCCACCTCCTCCTCCTCCTCCTCCTCCTCCTCCTCCTCCTCCCCTTCTTCAGGTATTTGATCACTGAGGCACACAGGTAGCAAACACTGAAAGCAGGCTTCTGAGCTGCAGAGGCATCAGCAAGATGCAAGGCAATGAAAACTGAACTCAAAGCATCTAAGAACTCCCAGGGACTTAGGTTAGCATCTTTGGCCTTTTTGTTTAAAAGTGTGAGTGTATTATGTGTGTGTGTGTGTGTGTGTGTGTGTGTGTGTGTGTGTGTGAGTGTGAGAGTGTGCATGTGTGTGAGTGTGTGAGTGTACTGTGTATGTGTTGTGAGTGTGTATGAGTGTGTGTGTGAGTGTATGTATGTGTGTGTGAGTGTATGTATGTGTGTGAGTGTGTGTGAGTGAATATGAGTGTGAGTGTATGTGTGTGAGAGTGTGAGTGTGTGTGTGAGTG